GTATATATCTACATAGGTAATATAATGAATAATGATTAATGAATAAACTATTAGGTATTATTATTATTATTATTATCTGTATAATTTTATGAGAGTACCTATATTACTACAAGTAAAAATATTATTTACATAATATGAGAAAAATAAGTACCTAAGTAGTATAGGTACTCAGCGCGAAGACTGTTTACAACTCTCTTATACCTAAAATACATTTAAATATTTAAAATTTAAAGAATTTTTTTTGTAAGATTGGCATATCTTTATAGATTATAATATTTTTTTAATCTTGAAAGTTGGATTTTGATAATCCTACTCAATATTATTCTAAAAATGAAGAAATATTATATTATAATATATACATATAGTCGAAAAGAGAGGGTTTAAAAATAAACTCCATTTACAGATTTTACAATGTTGATTTTTTGTTTGTAAAAGTGGTTTATAGAAATATTGAATAATGAATTAATATGCATGCTTTTATATAGCAGCAAGATTAAACATTGGTCATTCATTTTATTTGGAATGTTCTTTCATAAAAAAAAAAAAACCAAACTATTATTATAATAATGTACTCGTTATAATTATATTTATTGTTTATGTAAACGTTATTAACTTACTATATTACTATGTACATACTTACTCCATTGTTCTCATAAGTAGGTACCTATGTTTAATATTATGTGCTCTATGTATATCAATCCCTAAACACAGTCGGAATTGTGTATCATAATTTTTTTTTCTTGCTCAAAGTAACAGCAGTCGTTAAAATTAAAATTTTAATTAAAAAAATAGTTATACGCTCTCGTGTATTTGCAACACCAACGAATGGTATTTGTTCGTGTGCGTGCTCTAAATTGTGCTAAAATATAAAAACAAATAATCCCATATTACGTCTATATGTGTAAAACAAATATATAATATAACAGTGGCGGTTCTGGTAGTATTTTTTCGGTGAGGCAACCTATGTATCCCCCCCCCCCCCCCCCATACAAAATTAGAATTCACAATAAATGTAATTTAAAAACATAAAAATAATTATAATTGTATGAATGCTAATAATATACTTGTTTTGTATAGTAAATAATATAGTAAGTGATAGATAGGTAATAAACAGAGCATTTTAAAATTTGGTAGTTCTGAAAAGGACCTTTTGAGTAGGCCAACAAAACATTTTTTGTACATAATGACTCCCACATAACCAAGAGTGTTGTTGATATAAATTTGGATTAAATGACCTACAGAATACCTTACTTAGATTCTTGTCAGGAGCCAAAGCTTACAAAATCGGAATAGGCTTACCCACTTTTAGCAAATCATTTTTATTATCAGAATGCCATCGTCGAAACGGGGTCTCCAACAACATAACTACCACGTCTGTCACTGGATCAGTAGCGTATCTAGGATTTTTTCAAGGGGGGGGGATATAAAAATGTTGTAATGTGTAAAAATAATAATAATAATTAGTAGGTATCATAATCTAGTATAGTTTAATTTCTAAAATCTAAAACTAATACAAACTCTAAAAACAACAACCGATTGGAACTTTTATTAATTATCATTGATCACGGACTTCAGTTAACTTACAACAGTCGTGTATGATTCAACTATTCTGGGTATTGTGTTAATATTTAAGTTGAGTACCTTATTCTACCTAAATTAAAATGTATTTTTTTCGTGACGCGTGTTTACATTAATCTTTTAATTTGGTCAAAATATGACTGGGTAGACAAAAAATAAATGGGTTGTGTGGCTAAAAATATTAAATTACCGCAAACTGCTCAAGAATCGAAAATAATTTCCGGTATGTTTAATAAACAGATACAACTTGAGGTGATAACTAAGCAATAAAAAAAAATATATTTTAATTTAAGATAATATTAATTTGTAAATATATTGTATATCTATATAAGAGTAATAGAGTATGGACTATAAGTGATGAATCAGGTAAAATTGATTTATAGATAATGCAGTTGATATATTTTCAAAAAAAAGAAGATATCCTAATAACCTACTAATATTTTCGTTTATCAATATAAATATAGCCGTATAATAGTTTGCAGACTTTTAACTGATATATGTATACAATTGTTTTTTTTAAATATCTGCTACCTTATATTTAAAAATTATGTTACCTAGTTAATAAAAAGGGTACCATAAACAAATTTAAGCAAATAATATGTAGTTGTGAGCGGTTTTTTTTTACCCATTCATCGGGCTGGTCAAAACCTTTGCCCCCTCTATTGAAAAACGAAATGATGCCACTGGTTGTATGATATTATTGAATTTAATACCATTTATTTTCGTTCATAGGTTAGGTTTTAGGTGAGCTGTTTAATCTTCATACAACTATCAAATAATTGTTTTAAATAAAAAAATAAAAATAACCTTCCCGGGGGGGGGATATGACCCCCATATCCCCCCCGTAGATACGCCACTGCACTGGATACGTCATAACTCCAACAGTAATTAATTTAATATTGTTTATTACAAAAAACTGCAGCGTTATTTTAACGTAGACGTTAAGACGAACCAGAACCACCGAAAAAGTGTAAGACACAACTACAAAAGCGACTATTCGTACAAGACGTCAAGACAGAAATGACTAATGACAAATATAAAATTATTATCAATAGATATTACAACGGACAACGGTTAATTAGGAGTATTGGACTGTCCCGAGTCTCGATTGTAACAATAACATCTTTACTGATAAGTGATAATGTGTTTTTACGTTGAAATGCCGGCTGATATTCCTGTATACCGAGTCTATTTTTAGTACATAAGGCGATGTTAGTCGGGCCTCACAATGATCATTGCGCATGGGCAACTCTAGTTATTTAATAGTCGCGTGCATTCGCGTACATACGCTTGTGTGTGTAATTCATGTACACAATAGTACATACTCTGAGGCGGAGTTGAACGGTTAGGTTAGTTAACTTTTTTCTATATGGATTTATTTCAGCTCTTACATGGTGTGTAACGAAATAAAAACAAAATTTACGCACTCGGTAATTAAGATAATTTTATGCTATATCGAAAAATATTGTTTACCATGTCTGTGCTTACACGCGCAGTAGATATAGGTATACACGTCGACATCAGCTGTACACACCGTACTGCGTTTATCTACGAATAATTCCAATCCATGTCCGGACGACACCCTAAAAACGTTTGTGCTTTATTTGAAACAACGTTTAAAATGAACAAACGAACTTGTTGAATTACCCGATTCGACGATCTACAACGCGTTCCTCCTCATTATCGCGTGACCTCGGACTCGAAAAGAAAATCAGTCTGTGCACCAGTCGCGAAGTCCGTAGTGGCCCAAACAATAAGTAACTTTTTAACGGCACTTGACGAGTGCCAGGCGTGGTGTAGGACAGTGGTCCTCAAATAGTGGGTGGCGACCCATTTTTGGGTCATGTAACCTTTAAATTGGGTCACGATACGTCGTCTTTTTGAAATAAAAAATAAGTTTAATAGATGAAATAAATAAAAATACAGTTTATATAATCTATATAATAGATATAATGGATATCAAATCACAGTTTATTCAGTTATAACGGGTAGTATAGGTACTATACTCTACAAAGCATTAAGCAATTTTAGTTTTTTTTTTTCTACAAAACTTACGTGGGTCGCGAAAAATGTAGGCCCAAAAAAGTGGGTCCAAAAAGGTTGAAGACCACTGGTGTAGGGTATAGTTACAATGATTTCATGACGATATGACAATGCGGGACAACCCCAAAGGGTGCTTCACTGATATGGGCGAGCGAGACGTGAAGTGTTGTGTGGACTTAACCGAATATGGACTTTTTCCATGTTGTGTAAGGTCGTGGCAATGCAGGGCATTTTTCAAGAAATTTTCACTGGGTGACAAAAAAAAAATATTCTCAAAATAAATAACCAATTATAGTAGGTATGTAATTATTTCATGCTCACCGGTAATGCCAGGCACTTGTCGGGCCATGTGGATCAAGGATTTTCGGCAATGGCAGAGGGCACGTCAAGGAGTCGCTATCTGTTGGCGATTTGTCGAAAAACTATCCGAACGTTTCCGACGGCAGATCACGCTATGGTTATGCGTCCGGGGAGGCTACTGCGCAAAACAAAACTTTGGACTCGACCGTTATTATTATTATTAGGTAACTATAATAATAATAATATTATCGTCATCGGAGAAAAATGCGAAACCTGTAGAACCTGTAGAAACCTGTAAGAACCTGTAACAGGTTTTGTAATAATATAATAGTAACAGAATTTTAATTGTTCAGAAATATTATATTAAAGGTATTACAAACATTTCAGTACAGGTGCTTTCGTGATTTAAACATTTAGTTTTTATTAGAACCATATTTTAATAAATTCAAGTTGATTAAGTTGTACGAACCAAAAAAATAATTGATTGTGATTATTAGAGATTGTGTAAGCAATAGACGAGTTCGCGTAAAAATTACAAGGTGGTAAACTCAACATGTTTAAAGACAATAATAAAAAAAAATCCTCGAAATAATTTATGAAAAGTTAAACCTTATTAGCTCACCTGTTAAAAATTAAAATTAAAATCAATTAATCAAAATATTAAGATACAAAGAATTTTAAAGCATGGAAACGTACAAGATTTTAATTATTTTCTCAAAACGAAATAAATAAATATAACGCTCATATAAAATATAATTATACGTATATATTAATGTAAGTACACGGAAATTGATTAAAATAACAGTAGATATCATAAATTAAGAACAAATATCGTCAAACGGACGATACAGTCGCAAAGTTTTGTAATTATATTTCTTAACTTTTTAAGTCATAAAATTAATTTTTTCTGCAAGAAACAAAAGTTGTTTGTGGACTTTAAATCCACAATTCAATAATAAACTGAAATTGCACTCCGACGAGTGCTTCTAAATTTCAGATCTACGATTATTAGTACGATACAGTATTTTCATATTAATAGGTAAAATATTCATCATAGTTGTCATCATCTTGGTTTTAGGTTATTTGAAACAGTCTGGGATATACATCGAAGAGGATGGAGCACACCCTCGTTTACTCGACAATTTCATGGGGACTGGTTGCTTGGATAGTTTTTCAAGTTCTTGATCAGACAACATTGGCCTGAACACAGTACTAAAATTTGAAAAAAAATGTTAGCAATACGAATGAATAAATAAACAAATATTCATTTTACATACTCGGTCATATATTTAAGAAATCGAGAGGCATAGAATACGGGTGGTTGTACAGATATAGATTCGGCAGTTTCTGTCGCACCAGGTGTAACCTTCAATTTAAATGTTTTCAATCTATACTCTAGTTTTTTGATTATTCGAAAAGTTTGTAGTATGTCAATAATTCCAACAAATAGTAATAATTTTTCACCATAGACACTTTTAGAAGGTATGCTACCACTTAATGAAGCATGATTTTTATCTGACAAAGTCCAAGTCTCTGCTTGAATACTTTTGTCCTCTACTGAATCATCCATCAAACTCTCCCACCTGTCTGTAGCTGCTTTCCTTAAAGCCTCAGTTGTTGAAGTATTTTCATCGGCTTGTAAAGAACTGTCGATGTAATGAACGCCTATTAAAATACTGTAATCCATTATATTAAACTCTTTTAGTATTTCACAATCATTTTCTATAGTTTTGAGAAGAGCTAAGCGAGTGTCTGGCTTCAAAAATATACCCTTACGATGAAATTCGTAATTAAAATCTAAATCTTTATATGTAGGCGATTTTTTTTTTCTTTCATTAACGGAAGCTATTCTACCTAGAGTCGAACCTTTCAGATCAAATTTTTGGTGAATTTTTATGTCAGAAGGTAGTAAATTGTTCATAGATACTAATTTAATGTCTGTTGATTTGCATTGAAAATTATAAAAACCGGAAAATTTTGGCAACAGAGATTCCTGATTATCATTCAAATAAGTTGTGTACCTATGAAGTAACCCTAGTAAACATATATATTCGGTTTGCTGTACCGTTTTCATGATGAATCTATCGTTTGGTGTGAGGTAAAATATTGAACTACTAGCACCCGGGTTGGACAGTTCACGAAGAGGCGATTTACAAAACGAGTTAACATAATCATTTGCGTCAATGCCAAATAAGTGTCTGAGATAATGGAATGTAGATGGAGCGTATGTAGAATAAGAAAAATTTTGTATTTTATTGTTATTAATATCACGCCAATTATTAAATATCTTCGTTGAAATGTCCTGAAAATCATCAGGAAATGAATCAGGTACTTGTTGTGTTCTTTTTTCCATTTCATATTTTACTCCCAGTTGTATTGAATCCATAATATGACCAATTTGTTGTTTAGTGAGGATTTCTTCATTGTCATCCTTTAGCTTATAATTAAATTCCATATCATCATCTTCGGCTAAGAGATCTTCGAGGGATGGTCCAAAAATTGTGATGATTTTTTCAATAATAACATCTAAACAGTCATAATTCAAATCAGTGTCAAGATATCCATTAAACAAATTAATATCTAATAAGTAGAGATACGTTGTGGATGACCTAAATAACACACAACAATTCCCTAAAATAAAATGCAAAAATACCCCAAATAGTTTAAAAAAAAACAACTTTAAAATTGACTCAAAAATCTACTTGAATAAAAATAGGAAAAAATGAATATTGATTAAAATTATTTGGTAACCAGCTTGGTTATACCGTCCTCACTTGGATTGTATTTGATTAATTAACATTTTTTTTTTCTATAAATGTAAATAAAAAATTATTTATCTGGTCAAAAAGCTTAAAAATATAATACTTAAGTTTTTATTATAACTAAAATATTAACGATACATAGGCATTACGGTTATTTTTATTTTAAAGTTCAAATTTCGTCATAACCTAGGGGTGACGGTATTGAAAAGAATTTTTGGTATTACGCTATTGATTTCAATACCGGTTTGAAACGGTATACTGAAAAACCGATCTGTTTTGCTATACCGAAAAACCAAATGATTCTTTATACCTAAATACCGGTATTGTACGGTATACCGAAATAATAAATACCATCTAACTAGTATCGATATTTTTTACTTTAATATTGTTTCACATTATATGTCTACTTTATTTTATACTATAATATAAAATATTATAATCTATATTAGTGCCTTCGATACTAGAAAATTTAGACTGTTTTTTTACGGAATACCGTTCATTCGATTTTTACGGTATACCGTTTACCAAAATAATTTCAAAATACCGGTTGTCAGTTGAAACTTGATAAATATATTTTTTTTTAAATAATAATTATAGGTTCAATGGAGGGGGGGCTTCAGCCCGTTAGCTCCCCCTGCGAATGCCGTTGAGTCAGCCTATAATATAAGTGACTATTATTAAGTATATTTGATGATATTATTGTGAATAAAGTAATTTATATATTATAACCTATTTACATGCAACCTTGTTTTAAATTTTCAATCATTATCTATAAATTTGAATATTTTATAAATTTTTAACTACAAAATAATTATTACATTTTAAATTTGATACATCTTGTCAAAATCAGAACTTCAAATGCTCATAAAAAAAAATTGTGCATATGTATTGTAGAAAAATTTTCAACTACTATTGTAACAATATATCAGGAACCTTGTAATAAGTTTTTCAGGCTTTTTACCCAACAAATAATGTTTTATTGACAATAATTGATAAAAAAAAACTAAAAAAATTGAAATCAGACAGTGTCCGTAAACAGAAGAGTCAAAATATTTTTATAATTTTATGGTGTATAGAAAATGAAAATTCAAACATTTAGTTGTATTTTCATGTATCTACAGCTATTCGTTTTTAAATTACAACAAAATAACAAAATCGCTACATGAGAAATCGAGTAAATATCAAATCTTAGATTTAAAAAGAAAAATTTTTATGAATTCTTAACTCAAAATAATTAGGTAATTTTCGCAATTTTCCGTATTTTGTCAAGATTTGAACTTTAAATGTTAAAAAAAAAAACTGTGACTAAGGATTTTTAATATTTTAAATTATTAATTTTTAAGCTTTTTTACAAAACAACTTTTATTGACATTCATAGAAAAAAAAGGTGGGCAAGTGGGTGTCACTCTGCTGTACAGTAGGTTACTAGTGGGTCACTGTATAATGGATGGTATTACATTTGAATTCAATGATATTATATCATTGTATAAGAAAAACGATTCTGAGCGGAGACGGAAAATTTTTACTTTTGACCCCTCAAAGTACCAACTATATTCACTTTCCTATCAGAAAAGCTACTGTTGAAGAAAATCCAAGCACTTTTACTGTCTTAAAACGTGATGATAGACACAAAAAAAAAAATTAAAAAATAATAAAAAATTATAAAAAAAAAAAATATTTAAAAAAAAACGCACATCATTGTTAAATCAATACATTCATCGTTTCATTCAGAAACTAAAATAAGTACTAAAAAGGTTCAGGTTATCATCTACATTTCTAATCTGTAATTTGTAATATTATTAATTGACTGTACTGCGAATTATTCGTGGTCTTAATTTTTAGATATTAATAAGACTTTTTGTGCTAAGAAGTAAGAGTGTGTTTTAATTTATAACATTAATAAATACCTCGTTGAAATAATAATCGTTATATTATATTTAAGTAATAGTATAGTATATTTAAATTGTCTGTTAAGTAATATTGAATTTAGCTTGGCGATTTATTTTATCAATTTAAAAATACTATAGCATAATGAGTACATACCAATACAGTCTACTATAATATTGAAGTAGTAAGTGTATTACTAATCAAGCCGTGGCTTAAGGTCGCCAAGTTAAGTTCAATTATTTAGCAGACTATTTTAACGTAAATGATATCCATAGTGATAGTTGAAAGACTTAGCCATAAAATGAATAATTATTTCACAACTTTTAGAGCCGTTTCTTTATATACGTTTATTTTGCACGGAGTTTGTCGGAGTTTACATCTCACATAATATTTTGAACTATTATGATGTTAGATAATTATTTCAAATTTGAACATGATAATTGTATCTATAGTGTCATAATACAAACTACATACTTTCGTCTTCTGTCTCTGTATTGCTTGTTACTGTTGAAATTATCGTGAGATAATACACTAAGAAAATTATAAGTCCTTTGGAAAATGTAAACGTATTAATCATCATTGTTAGATTTGAAAGCACTATTTTGAACATAGTTACTTCTTCACCGTACATAAACGAATAAAGTTCCTTTACAGTCGGGTAAAAATATAGGTTGTAGTCCGTAGAAATAAAATGGAGCAAAACCTATGAACTATCAACGCGTAAGAACAAATCACTGTTGCACAACTGAACAAACCATTTTAATTTTTAATTTTTATGTTCAATAACATCGTATTTGTTAGCAAAGAGCAGGTGGTCTTTATATTCTTATGAAAACAGTTTAGGTCTTATTCAAACCAAATAAATAAATTATCACTGTAACCAATTGATTTAACTAGAGAGTCTCTAGTTTTCACAAAACGCGTCTCCTATGTTGTATTTACACATGTAGGTATGCAATATTTTATAAAATGGACGCCGTCAAACATTTCAATAATAACAATATTATTATTATCAGACTGCGTCTTGAATAGGAATTTAGTCATACTCCGTTTGAACCCGAATTTTTCTAGAACCTCATACTCTCATGAACTATGATGTATTATAAATTATAATTTAATATAATTTGATTTAAATCAATCGGACAGGCATTTTAGCTATGGCACTGTGGTGGGTGTATTTTGTACGGTTTTTTTTAAAAGTACATGGTTTAGTATACACACCGACTGCACACTTAATCAAAGTACATTATAAGTATTAATTAAGTTTAAGATTACCTCAAATTATAATATTATGTCTATCCAAGTGACTAATAATATAATATTATTTTAGTATACAACATATAATAATTTTAACTTTGATAAATCTCATTTATTTCTATACGATTTGGTTGTTAAGATAATATAGTATGAGTAACGGATAATGAGTAGAAATGACATAAAAAGATGAAGGCTAAAACTACGATAAAAAAAAATATATTTCGTTGCGTCTCTCTTTTTGTTTTTTTATTCGAATTATTTATTTACAATGTAACGTATATAGTACGCTTGTAATCGACTAAGTAAAAAACCGTTTTAGTGTTTTTACCGTTGCGCCAGCCCGGCCAATTATATACGTTTTGCGAATTTTGGGACTTTGACTATACCAATATTTAGCACGCCATTCGCATGAATTCGCACGACTGTCGCCAGAATTCCCACGACATTTATTTATGTGTAAAAAACCGTTTTAGTGTTTTTACCGTTGCGCCAGCACGGCCCATTTCGAATTTTCGGAAAATTTTTTCACCAATATTTAGCATGCAATTAGCATGAATTTGCAGGACTAAAATTAGAATTTGCATGATATTGGTTTAATGGTTAAATCCAAAATTTGATGGGCCGGGCTGGCGAACCGTTGCGCTAGCCCGGCCCAAGAGAAAAAATATGGATATCGAATATATAAATATACCAATATTTAGCACGACATTCGCATGAATTCGCACGACTGTCACCAGAATTCGCACGACATTTTTTTATGGGTAAAAACCCGTTTTAGTGTTTTTACCGTTGCTCCAGCTCGGCCCATTATATAAATTTTGCGAATTTTGGGACTTTGACTATACCAATATTTAGCACGCCATTCGCATGAATTCGCACGACTGTCGTTAGGATTCGCACGACATTTTTTTAAGGGTGAAAAACTGTTTTAGTGTTTTTACCGTTGCGCCAGCCCGTCCAATTATATACATTTTGCGAATTTTGGGACTTTGACTATACCAATATTTAGCACGCCATTCGCATGAATTCGCACGACAATTTTTTATGGGTAAAAAACCGTTTTTATGTTTGTACCATAGCGCCAGCCCGGCCCATTGTAGAAATTTTGCGAATTTCGCTGTTCTGACTGTACCAATATTTAGCACGCCATTCGCATGAATTCGCACGACTGTCACCAGAATTCGCACGACAATATTTTATGGGTAAAAAACTGTTATAGTGTTTTTACCGTTGCGCCAGCCCGGCCCATTGTACACATTTAACGAATTTCGTTGTTCTCACTGTGCCAATATTTATAGTTCACCATTCGCATGAATTCGCAAGACTGTCGTCAGAATTCACACGACCATTAAATATTGCAATGATCTCCCCCTAATCGAAGATTCATATATACAGGTTAGGTCCTCCAATGCATTCCCATCAATAAATTGTCTTAATCATAATCTTAATAACAATATATATTATATTATTCAATGTTCTATTGTTCTATTGTGCCCTTTTTCTATCATTAAACATTATTAACAATAATATTATTTGTCGATATGTAAATAATAAACCACAAGATATAATAAAGTTTCTTTACAGTCGGGTAAAAATATAGGTTGTAGTCCATAGGAATAAAATGAAGCAAAACCTATGAACTATCAACGCGTAAGAACAAATCAGTGTTGCACAACTGAACAAACTATTTTAATTTTTCATATTTATGTTCAATAACATCGTATTTGTTAGCAAAGAGCAGGTGGTCTTTATATTCTTATGAAAACAGTTTAGGTCTTATTCAAACCAAATAAATAAATTATCACTGTAACCAATTGATTTAACTAGAGAGCCTCTAGTTTTCAAAAAACGCGTCTCCTATGTTGTATTTACACATGTAGGTATGCAATATTTTATAAAATGGACGCCGTCAAACATTTTAATAATAACAATATAATTATTATCAGATTGCGTCTTGAATAGAAATTTAGTCATACTCCGTTTGAACCCGAATTTTTCTAGAACCTCATACTCTCATGAACTATGATGTATTATAAATTATAATTTAATATAATTTGATTTAAATCAATCGGACAGGCATTTTAGCTATGGCACTGTGGTGGGTGTATTTTGTACGGTTTTTTTTTAAAAGTACATGGTTTAGTATACACACAGACTGCACACTTAATCAAAGTACATTATAAGTATTAATTAAGTTTAAGATTACCTAAAATAATAATATTATGTCTATCCAAGTGACTAATAATATAATATTATTTTAGTATACAACACATAATAATTTTAACTTTGATAAATCTCATTTATTTCTATACGATTTGGTTGTTAAGATAATATAGTATAAGTAACAGATAATGAGCAGAAATGACATAAAAAGATGAAGGCTAAAACTACGATAAAAAAAAATATATTTCGTTGCGTCTCTCTTTTTGTTTTTTTATTCGAATTATTTATTTACAATGTAACGTATATAGTACGCTTGTAATCGACTAAGTAAAAAACCGTTTTAGTGTTTTTACCGTTGCGCCAGCCCGGCCAATTATATACGTTTTGCGAATTTTGGGACTTTGACTATACCAATATTTAGCACGCCATTCGCATGAATTCGCACGACTGTCGCCAGAATTCCCACGACATTTATTTATGTGTAAAAAACCGTTTTAGTGTTTTTACCGTTGCGCCAGCACGGCCCATTTCGAATTTTCGGAAAATTTTTTCACCAATATTTAGCATGCAATTAGCATGAATTTGCAGGACTAAAATTAGAATTTGCATGATATTGGTTTAATGGTTAAATCCAAAATTTGATGGGCTGGGCTGGCGAACCGATGCGCTAGCCCGGCCCAATAGAAAAAATATAGATATCCAATATATATAAATATACCAATATTTAGCACGACATTCGCATGAATTCGCATGACTGTCACCAGAATTCGCACGACAATTTTTTATGGGTAAAAAAACTGTTTTAGTGTTTTAATCGTTGCGCCAGCCCGACCCATTATATACATTTTGCGAATTTTGGGACTTTGACTATACCAATATTTAGCACGCCATTCACATGAATTCGCACGACATTTTTTTATGTGTAAAAAACCGTTTTAGTGTTTTTACCGTTGCGCCAGCACGGCCCATTTCGAATTTTTGGAAAATTTTTTCACCAATATTTAGCATGCAATTAGCATGAATTTGCACGACTAAAATTAGAATTGGCATGTTATTGGTTTAATGGTTAAATCCAAAATTTGATGTGCCGGGCTGTCGAACCGATGCGCTAGCCCGGCCCAATAGAAAAAATATAGATATCGAATATATAAATATACCAATATTTAGCACGACATTCGCATGAATTCGCACGACTGTCACCAGAATTCGCATGACAATTTTTTATGGGTAAAAAACTGTTTTAGTGTTTTAATCGTTGCGCCAGCCCGACCCATTATATACATTTTGCGAATTTTGGGACTTTGACTATAGCAATATTTAGCACGACTATCGCATGAATTCGCACGACTGTCGCCAGAATTCACACGACATTTTTTTATGGGTAAAAAACCGTTTTAGTGTTTTTACCGTTGCGCCAGCACGGCCCATTTCGAATTTTTGAAAAATTTTTTCACCAATATTTAGCATGCAATTAACATGAATTTTGCACGACTAAAATTAGAATTGGCATGATATTGGTTTAATGGTTAAATCCAAAATTCGTTTAATCCGTTATCCGTTTATTGGCTAAATCCGTTTTAGTGTTTTTACCGTTGCGCCAGCCCGGCCCATTATATAAATTTTGCGAATTTTAGGACTTTGATTATACCAATATTTAGCACGCCATTCGCATGAATTCGCACGACTGTCACCAGAATTCGCACGACAATTTTTTATGTTTAAAAAACCGTTTTTATGTTTGTACCGTTGCGCCAGCCCGGCCCATTGTAGAAATTTTGCGAATTTCGTTGTTCTCACTGTGCCAATATTTATAGTTCAGCATTCGCATGAATTCGCAAGACTGTCGTCAGAATTCACACGACCATTAAATATTGCAATGCTCTCCCCCTAATCGATGATTAATATATACAGGTTAGGTCCTCCAATGCATTCCCATCAATAAATTGTCTTAATCATAATCTTAATAACAATATATATTATATTATTCAATGTTCTATTGTTCTATTGTGCACTTTTTCTATCATTAAACATTATTAACAATAATATTATTTGTCGATATGTAAATAATAAACTACACGATATAATATTGTAAATTTAGATACTTATTTAATATACATTATTTTAGTACCTTTTGCATTAAAAAGTCCTATTATATACTGTTATGAGTGTCGTAATTTTTTGTCAGATTCGACTGTACAATGATATGCAGAT